GTGTGTGTGTGTGTGTGTGTGTGTGTACTTGTTTTTGCTACCTGGTGGGGACAATTTTTGACCATTTCCCCGGTACACACAGCCAGGTGAGGACCCATTGTTTCTAACTGTATAGGGACAAAAGCCCGGACCGGCCCGGCCCACATTGTGGGGTGAATAAAGTTTAGATTAGGTTTAGGGTCAGACATTCCATAGAAAATATCAGTAAATAAATGAAAGTCACTGCAAATTCCCCATGAGGATAGAAGAACAAACGTGTGTGTGTCTGTGGGACAGTGAGGAGACGAAGCAGGGAGCAGCTGCAGGGAGGAAATTAGTTCAGAGTTTTTAGCACAAGTTGTGGCTGGAGCAGCTCCTGTTGGCATTTTTTAGGTGTGTTGTTAAAACACAGATGGTGTATTTAATGAAGTTATTTTTGGGATCTACAGGTAAAGTCTCAAAGATCTTGACGAGTCTGTGGCAGGTCTGTCACCGCCTTGCTCAGAGGTAGAGGTGGGGGAGTTTCAGCCCCACTCCTCCTTCTCTCTCTCTGCCTCTGTTTGTCTTCTGACACACATCCATGGTCAGGTTTCTACAGTACGGGTTTTCATCTAAAAACAGTCCGAAACAAACGCCCACATTATTACACAATCGMTGGAATTGATTGTTTGCGGGAATTTCCCAAATTATAAAAGTTACGGACGGACGAAAAAATAAAATAAATAAATAAATAAAAAAAGCAGCAGCTTCAAGCTGTCGCACCAGTGCTACCTAGTCTTTTTCTTTTATAGCAGACAGTTTTTTTCGTAGCATGTGCAACATGTATGTTGCACTGTACAGCCGTGTGTAGGATCAGTTCATAAGGATCAGCTGAGCGTCAGAGCTGTGACTCTAAATACACAGGAAGAGGCCATTTAAAACTTTATCACAAATCTGCTAATTTATTCAGATTTTCTCAAAGCAAAGAGCCAGATTGAAGGTCCTGTCACGCTGTGACTTTTAGACAACTTAYGCCGATTTGTGCAAATTGTGTCYGACAAGTTGGTGTAAGTTAGGAGTWARTTTTGAATWTGTGGTGGAGTGATTGAAACTGGGATTAAACTGCATGTTGTGTGTAAAATGTTAAGAAATACAGGAACCGAAAATCCCACAAACACACTGCCTGAGAATAAACCACCTGATTTTTCTGTATTACTGAAAATAAAAGGTTTGGTGTTTTTTATTTTTTATTGTGTATAAGTAGGAAATTACAGTTCTGTGTAAATCCCACCCAGATAAGTTTGATCACACTTAAAACAGATTATCTAAGCTTTTTAATATTAAAACTGAAAAAAATAACTAGCATTTGAAGAGATGCTCTGATGAAATATCACAAACTTCCATCAGAGAAAACATTTTAAAATGAAACTAATATAAACTAATATTTTGAGTCGAGCARTATTTATCTTTATAACCAATTAGTCGCCCTTAGATTGGTCCTTAAATGATGCCGTATCACTGTCTGCCTTGAAAGTCATGTAATGTTTTACTAAAGCATGTAAGTTAGGGCACTTTAAGGATTTATGATTAGTGCTGGGCATAGATCACATTTTTAAATTGTGATTAATCTCAATTAATTTTTAGAAACAATCACTCTACTATGGATGAATGTGTATGTTTGTGTGTGCAACACACTCCATGTGTGACACATTGTACACTTTGTTCTTTTATTGTGTTTTTTATCTTCTTATTGCTTATTGTTTTTTTATTGCTGACAACAGGGACCTCAGTATCTATCTTTCATTCCTTGTGYAGTACTCATTTAGAACGACAACAAAAATTCCTTGAAATCTTGATTAATCTCATTATGCTGYGCAACATTTAACTATGGTTTAAATATGTTTTAGGTACTGTTTTATATAAAAAGGGGCAATGCATTTTCAAAAATAAGGAAACGCAAGCCTGTCTTACTTTTTTCTTCTTTCCCTCTAACACGCTGGTCATGGTATAAAAATATGTTTTAGAAGTTATAATACAGATTTTTCTATATTCTTAAAATTAAACATGCAACAAACAAGTATTATTTTTTTCATCGCTATGATTTTTCAAACACTCAAAAAAAAACCCTAAAAGGTTGCAGACAAATTTGAATTAAAAAAGCCCACCCCCCGATGCATATATCAACATTTTTTGTTCTTGTACCGTCCTGAACAACAAGTTTGAGAAGTTAGGGTAAAAGGCTGCCGTACCTGATCGCCCTCCTGCGCTCGCACCTTTGGGCTCCACTCCCTCCACGCTTCTGTTCTGTTTGTTCGGGACGCGGCTCCTCTTCTTGGGCAGCGGCGGCAGCTCCTCTGGCTTCGGCTGAGGAGAAGAGCTGACGCGGCCCGGCTTGGGCTTCACCGCGGGGGGCTTTTTGCTGCCTGTCAGGGGCTCTGACAAACAAATAGTGGCGTGCTCCTCCAGTTCTTTGGACTCCTGCTGCCTAAACATGTTCACCATGTCTTTGACTTTCCCTTCGGAAGGTTCTGAAGCGTTGTCTCTGTCGGCAGGAGAGCCGGAGCTGCTTTGCACCAAGGATCGGAAAGAGACCTCAGGTCKTTGCTTGACCTCCGGTTTGACGAGTGACGTGCCTTGTTCCTGTTTAGACATAGTAGCAGGTGGGCGTCTTCTACTTATGTTTAAACTTCCCCAGGCTTTGACAGGAAAGAATTAGTCTGAGGACATCATCGTCCCCTGAGGACAAAACAGAAAACAGAAAAATTAAAACCATTTGAAAGCACCTTTCACAACATGACGTCAAGAGTGCAATCCTAATCCAGACTTTGAGCTCTGACCTATAAATCTGCTTCCTCTCTACGGAGCACGTTCCCACACCTTAAACAAGAAACAATGTCAAATCCGCTGAATTAGGCTCAACTTTGTTTATGAATCTATGGATAAATAAAAATCTCTGGCCGCAAACAGCACATWTTTCTATTTTCAGGTTTCTTTACATCTTTCTGCKACTTCTTGTTTTTTTTTTTTAATTATTATTACTGTCGCACAGCTAAACCGTAAAACGTTAATCGTTCATTTGCTATTTCGAACAGCTGAGTCAGCAGCATGGAAACACAGCTGATCAAAGATAAGTCACATTTCAGGGCAGCAGCAGCCAGCTGTAGCACTTCMTGTGTCTCATATTTCTGCTGGAATCAGCTTCTTTATGAAGTCCGATAAATTTCCCCCTGAAATGGTTTGACGTGAAGTGTCATCACTTAAAAGTTGTCTGACTGAACACAGTGAAACCTCATAAGTCATGTTTCAGTTTGCGGACTCAGTCTTTCACAGTTTTTTCATAGAACCTAATACCGCTAGTAGTTTGTGGTATTCCCCAAAATTTTGCAGAAACCAGAAATACAGTAAATACAATAAGGTGCGTGATGTGTGGTCAGTTGTACTTGTTGTACTTTATAGTGATTATTAGATGTGTTTGTTCACTCAAAATGCCACAGAGCTTAATAGTTATTGTTTTATTATTCATCAGAGCAAGAAATAGAAAACCTTTTTCTGACGTTCTGACAAGATGGAAACTTGAATGCTTTCAGCTATGACTGATGTCAGTCTGACTTCACCACTTTGACTTCTGCTGCAACTGGAACGCAGCAAAATCTAYTGAATATGAATTGAGATGTTTGATGATGATGTTGGGGAGGATGCTGTGTTCTTTTATTTTTCCACCAGAACCTTTTGTAAACAGATTTTTTTACTTTGCTGAAACCAAGAACCACCTAAAAAAGTGTAGTTTTATTATTTTTTTCTTTATATATATAATAGAATACATTATCACAAATATAAAGTTTTGTTCCCTAACTCCCATCAGTTGTTGAACAAAAAAAAAAAAACATGACAGGAGGCCAGTGCCCTGAGACAACGTATGTTGTGACTTGGCGCTATATAAAGAAACTGAATTGAATTGAATTGAGGCTGCAGCGGCCAAAAAATGTATTTATTATAAACAGTAATAAATGAATTGATGTAAAACTTATTAAAACTAAAAAATCTACTTTGCTCATACAAGCCTTTAGCTCATAAATCCTWTCAGAATTAAATTATTTCTTTAAATAAGATGTTGTTGGATCTGAAGCAGGTCTGTTCATAAACTTTCTACAGAACTGTTGCTTTAATGCGCATTATCTGTGATTCATTAAAGTTTTACAGAAAATAAAAACAAACCATTTAACCGCAGTGTAAATTTACAGTCACTCTACACCTTTTGTGCTGTTTGAGGACATAATGTAACCTAAAAAAATTCCCTCATCCTTCCTCTAACCACAGACATGTTGATTCACAGATGATTCCCTTTCATGTAGTGACTGAAATTTCATCTTTAATTGTGGATTACATCACTTTGACTAAACAAATAAATTCAATTCAGTTTATTTTTATAGTGCCAAGTCAAAACATATGTTGTCTCAGGGCACTGTACATAAAAAGAACAATCTAAAGAAGAAACCAGCAGATTGTGTTGAATCACTTCATCAC